CAGAGCGTGTATTTGTGTTGAGTCTTAGTCTTGGAAGGGGGTTTGCATTGCTTCCTAAATTCTTGAGCCCAAAACTTTGAGTAGGAGAGAACCCAAAGCAATCCCACCTCCTGCCCCCTCCAGTTGTTAATTCCCTTGCTGTTGTTGTTAAGTGTTGTGGAGTCGGTTCCTACTCATAGCAATGTTGTATAGGGTTTCCAGGGAGGGGCTGCTGGCTTGGCTCCCTTAGGATGCAATATTATTTTTCATGTTATGATGCATAGCCTGTGAGGTACCAAGGGGCTAGGGGAATAGGAGAAACCAGCCACTGATTCCCGGAATTTATTTTGAGACACATTAATGTGTTTCTTCCCTTCAAGGTCAAATCAAGTAATCTCCATTTATCACCATTGGCAGCGACTGACTGGCAGGCTGTTGGGAGGGGGAAGGAGGATGGGGAGCTGGGTCATGGGAGAGGATAGGGAAGCAGGTATTTCTTGTGGCAGCATCATTCATGTGCAGGCTCAGGAACAATGGTCCTCTCTCATTTGATTGGGCATCTCTGAAGAAGAAAGGGTCTACTCACATGTTTTAATGCTATGTGTTTGGGCCAGAATTTGTCAAAACTGAAATGAGTCAGGTTTCTGAGGTTGAGATCCTATCTTTAGCCTAATTTCCCAGGTGACTTATGCTCACTACCCATTCACTCATTCATTCAGTACGTTAATCATTGCTTATGATGAATCAAGTACTACATTTGGCATAGAGGACCCCATGGTGGATGAGTCAGGAAACAACCACCCCTCCCTGCTTTCAAAGTTTGCATTCTAGGGTGCATCTGTGTGGTGTGTGTTGAGGGCAGCTTCCATTTTAATATGCCTGTGTGTTTGCAACCAAGCAAACAAAATGCTGAGAAGGGCTGTGAAGTAAATAAAGCAGTGTGATGTGTTTATTAACCAGGGATTAGGTGGGGGTGACTACGGATTGTGAGGGCTCTCCACAGAGATGGAAGCTGAGGAGACCCCTGGACAGCGTAGTGAATACGGGAGGAAGCGGTAGATGTAAGCCAATGCAAGGAGCGTGGGTTTTGTTGGCTCAACCATTCATCCTTGCAATCAGCATGAGTACCACACGTCTCCTTTGCACTGGGAACTGCATTTGAGTCTAGGGGGACAGTGGAGTACCAACGAGCTGTTGTGTCTACTGTCCTGAGATTGGCTGTCAGCATTAGCCATGCCCTGTCTTGTGAGATGGAAATCTATCTGCCTCATGCCCTCCCCAAAAGGGCTTTGTTGTCTCAGGAAGTACCTTCCTCAGGGTTCCTTCTATCTTCCACTTCCCACCCCCAAAGAACTCTCCTCTCTAGTCACTTTGCTCTGGGTTGCCTTCAAGCTCTGCTCTGAGACTATTCTCAATAGACCCTTTGCCAAAGACCACTCACACCAAGCTCTTTTGAGTGCCTCACACATCCCTAGAGGTTATGATCAGCGTATGAGTGTGAGATCACCATGCAGAGAATTTAAAATTTAATCACATGTGCTGTTTATTTAGGTCCCTGGCATTTCTCACTACAGTTCATCCCTATCTCACATTGAACACCTGTGCAGATTCATGTGTTTCTTCATATCCTTGGCATGGGCACCATCTCTTGGGTGGGCTCTCCATTCTATCTGCTCATGAGTGTCACCATTCAGGGGCCCAGGACTGACAGGTTTGCTTCTCTTCCCAGACTTTTGAAAAAAGGAACGATCGTTACCCAGTAAGTGCTTGGTGAACAAATATTCAGAGTAGGGATTTCCGCCATGATTTGAATGATTCCTTCTCAGAAGCAGGGAAGTTAAGGCCAGTGTGGGCTATTACTGTCATTACTTGTATTCTCCTGCACAAATAGTGAAGCTATTATAATGTAGTTTACTGTGTTGGGAAGAGGGTAAGCAAGGTGGGTTGGGGCCAGCCTGGTAGGAGTCTAAGTTGAAGCCCTCTTCAGAGAAGGAGGTGGGGAGAAAATACTTGGCAGACAGAGCAATGTATTCTAAGCACTCTAGATAGAAAGGGTCTGTTGGAGGAGCAATGGGAAGTTAGGTGGGGCTGAGGGGCAGAGGGTGAGCAGAGAGAGGTAACCTGGGAGACTCTGCAGCATCATATAGGGACTTTGAAGAAACCTGTGAACAATGGGAATACATCAAAGGATTGCACTAAGGGTGTACCTTTTGCCTTGGCTCTTGTATTTTGTCTAAAAGATACCTCCCCACTCCACCTCCTGCTTACTCAAGTCCTACAACTATGCCCAGTCATCAAGACCTAACAGGTGTAGCCCCTCACGTGGTGACCCATCCCCAACTGGAAATAGCACGTCTTCCCACAAGTTGGACTAACTCATTCACGACACACTCAAGTTGTGCTTTGTCGGGAGAAAAGGCAGCGTAGAGTACCTTTCAAGAGTGAAGGTGCTGGAACCAGACTGCCTGGGTCTGCCTGCCATGGGTTCTGGGGACCGTGCACTTCATCCTTCCAGGCTTCATTGTTCTTTCAGGGAGGTGGTGGTGACAGCTGGCCCTAACTGGGATTCTAGTGAGAGGAAATGTATTCATGTACATAAAGCACTTTGCACAGCACTGGACATGCAGTGAGGATTCAGTGAGGGATCTGCCTGCTGGGATTGTGGCTCGTTGTCTCCTGTATCCTGGCTACCAGCAGTGAGGCACCGCACAGGGTAGGTGTTGTGGAAATAGTCACTGAATAATGCTGGCACGTGAGGATTTGGAGGTGCCCTTGACAGACAGCCCAGCAACTATTCATCCTTCTTCCTGAAAGCAGGCATCTGGATTCAAGTTCTGCTCTGTTACCATGTGACTCACCTTTTTCCTGTGTTAGCTTCAGCTTCACAAAAATGTGAAATTCATATTTACTTCCGAGGGTGTCTCTGGGCTTTGAATGAGACTGGTTCCAAGGATAGAGCATATGATCCTGATCTGGCCAATCCAAGCACTTGTTTCTTGTATGGTAGTTATTTCAGGGGTGATCATGTGATCCAAGCTGGCACAACAAGGATGACTCAGGAATATGAAACTACAGGAAAAGACTTGCTTTTCTTGTTGGGGACTGTAGGGGGGGGAGGATACGGGATTGTAGTAACTATAGCCACGTTGTGATGGAGAAAAGAAAGGAGCAGAAGTAAAGGAGCCTGGGCTCAACATGGAGACTGCAGATGAAGCCAACACTGCATCCACCCCAAGTGTTCCATCAGGAGTGGTCTAAGCCCATCACGGCCATTTCTCATTTGCCAATGAGGGTCTAAGGATAGACACGTGACCCCTTTTGGCCATTGAGAAAAGTTTCCAGGGAGTGTGTGGAAAAGATTTTGCACACTGATAAAAGAGAGGCCTTTTTACCCCTGCCTGTCTTCCTTTGTTGTTGTTAAGTAACCACCATGCTGGTTCTGACTCATAGTGCGCCTGTATTGGATTTCTGAGGAGTGGCTGATAGGTTTGATCAGTTTCGGGTTTCTGAGCCTATAGATGTTTATGGGAGCAGAAAGCCTCATCTTTCTCCTGCGGAATAGCTGGTAGTTTTGAACTGCTGACCTTGAAGCATAACCACTATGCTACCAGAGCTCCTTTTGCGGTTAGTAGTCCAGTGCTTGTCTACAGAGCCAGGCTGGGGCTCCCTTCTCTTCCTAGACAATGTCATATGAGGACAAGATGCCTGGATCTGTGGCATTCATCTTGTAGCCAATAGGGTAGACCAAGTAGGCTTGTCAGAGATGGAAGAGAAAAATAAGGAAATATCCTGGGTTCTTGGTGGCATGCAACTGAAAAAATTAGTCAACTCTGAAGTCACTCATCTCTAGAATTCTCATGAAGTTACATAATAGATGTTTGTATCACTTAGAGGACTCCTGGCGTGGTGCTGTGGGTTAATGTGCCAGACTGTAAAGTCATTTGAACTGCAAGGTCGTCAGCTCCTTAGAAACCCATATAGGGTCACTATGTGTCGGAACCAACTTAACAACAACAACATCACTTAGGCCGCTGTTTGTTATGCAGTCTTGGTGCGGTGCTGTAGGATAATCTCTGGACTACTAACTGCAAGGTTTGTGGTTCAAAACTACCAGTCACTCCTTAGAAACCCTATACAGCATCATGAGTCTGAACCAATTTTACAGTACTTTAACAACAGTGACAATGTTAATTATTATAAAGTCCTAACTGATACAGCAATGTCAAGTAGTATAGGATTTATTTCCTCTTTAAATAAAGCACACATAACTAAGAACATCAACTCCTTTATTATTATTATTAATATTAACTGTTATTTTCCCCTAAACAATGGCACATCTCAAATAACAATGACATATACACCCCACCCATATACACAGTACCACTAGCCTGTCTTTCAGGCTGTCTGGCCTTTGCTTGGTTCCTAGTAGGGCTGTCTGGAGAGAGCCCCCTCTGTAAAAATCCCAACTTAGACACAGGGGACACAAGAAAGGGGAGGGGGGGGCTTTAGCCAGAGAATAAACTGAGGGGCTTCCAGAGTCCTTAGGGGAGTGCCAGTGTGGGAGCATGCTGTAAGCGCCTGGGCAGAGGGCAGAAGGCATGATCGTTTTCATGTGTTTGGTGGATAAATCCCATGTGGAGACTAAGACTTGTCTATGACCCTTTGGATGCCTGAACTTTAGGAACACAGTGGTATGAACCAATGGGCTCCATCACCCAAACCATGAGGCAGGTAAGGACAGTGGGAGTCCAGAATAGGAAACTGGGTGACGGGGCGGTCCCCAGAGAAGAGCAACACTTGCATGAAGTCACACAGTAAACTACAATGTGAAATTTTAAGGCCCCTTTCTATTTGCATGAGGCTATAGAATGTGCAACATTTTCATCACAATAGAAAAGGTAAAGACAGAAAACCTCCCAGCATTTTGGCCTAATGAAACTGAACATGACTTGCCAATTGCGCCTTCTTATGGAGAAACCAATTACTACACTATCCAGGGACTCTGGTCAAATCCCATCCACCTCCCGCCAACATGTTAATCACACTAAATCAATCAGCTCAGCTAAGGTGATGTACCCTGGAATCACAGAAGCCCGGGGAGGGAAGAAGAAGGATGGGCCAAGATTGGCCTCTCAGGTACAGGTGACTTCCTGGCTGTCTGGGGAAAGCTCATGGTTGAAACAGCTTTCTCCATATGTGGAGTAAGGAGGAACCTGGGGAGCTTCGATGATCAGCAGGCCCTCTGGGGAAAGTGAGGCAAACACTGTCACAGGATCCACCTCCAGAGGAAGCCTAGGAGAAGCATGAGATCCCATTGGTTATTTTTCATATAGCTTGAAAGTTGTTTTGTTCATTTGAGGTAAGCGATTTCTAATTAGAGTTTAGGCTTTGGATACAATGTTGGTTTTGAATCCTAGCTTTACCCTTTTTTAGTGCTTGATGTTGGGAAGTTCACTTAGTTGCTCTAAGCTTGTTTCCTCACACATGGAGCCTGAAAATACTTTGCAAGTGATAAGATGCTGTTGGACAGTAGTTCCTTAACTTAAAAGGGAGCTGTGGTCCAGGTGGTCAACCCCTTTCATTTTAGCACCCAGTCGATGAACTTCTAGCAGAAATGATCAGCATTACATCCCTTTGGGAGTTCCTGAGTGATGCCAATAGTTAACACTCTCACTAGTAACCTAAAGGTTGGAGGTTTGAGTCCACCCGGAGGTACCTAGGAAGAAAGGACTGGCAATCTACTTACAACAAAACCGGACACACATGGGGTTGTCTTGAGTCGAAGCTGACTAGTAGGTGGCTACCGGTTTGTTTTTTGTTTGGCTCTTTGTCCTTCTCTTTTACTTGCTACTTTTCTTTTGGATATACAGGAGTAAGCTAAGGCTTAACCCCTAGAGCAGCCACATCATCTTGTTAGAATTTAACCATATTTTGCTCTCACTGGATTTATCTTCATGGTTGCTTCCTTCAGTGACAACTTTTCTCATGAGAATTTAATCAAAAGTATGGAGATCAAAAAGGAAGAGGAAAAAGAAAAAAAAAAGCAAATAGTAGTATAGAAATGTAAGCATATTCATTAGGCAGAAATAATGAAGTTGGTATGTGAATGGCTGTAATTAGGTCTCCCTCAGCCGAATAGGAGTCCTGGTGTGGCAGTGTACGGTAACTGTGAAGTCAACCCACCAGCTGCTCCTTGGAATCCCTATGAAGGATCTTTGTGAGTCAGAACCGCCTTCACAGCACCTGACAATAATCACATCACCACCAAACAGGAAGTTCACGGACTTTGATGGTAGAGAGACTTGTGTTCAAATCCCAGATCAGCTCACTCCTAGCCGTGTGACTGGCTGAGTTTTGTCACCCCTCTGAGCCTCAGTTTCCTCAATCCATAAAAGAGGTTTAGTAATACTACCCTGGAGAATTCTTGAAAGGATTAAACTCTTTAAGCTCAGCATGGCTACTGGCACACCACAGGTGTTAATGAGCGGCAGAACAGATTATCTGGGAAGGTGCAGAGCAAAGAAAAAGTAAGTTTTCTTTGATTTTGCGCATCCCCCACCAATGGCTTCCTGCATCTCCCACTTCCTGTAAGTTGGGTGTAGAAAACAACCCAGATGTGGTTCTTCATGCCCTACTCCCAGTGGGTAAATTACAACCATGCCCAGTTACAATGGGGGCTTTTACACAAAGATGGATATGTTGGGGCAGAACAGGACATACAATGAGGGTCTCCCCAGTCTCCTGTCTGGGTGGAAGTGTCTGAGGATCCCAGCCTGGTATTAGGAGCTTCCCTGTCCTCTAATAACAAGGTTTTTACTGAGAGAGGCAGTGAGACCTCCAGAGATTTCCCAGGGCCATCCCAGACTACAGACTGACTCCCAGGTGTCTGACTCTAGGCAGAACATCTCCTTGTCTCAGTGGTTCTCTTATGAGTTTCTTCCTTTCTTCAATTTCTGCCTCAAAGGATAAAACAAAACCAAGGACAACTTTCACCTTCATCTATGTGGATGCTATAAGGAGTGTGCTCACTCTTCCAGGCCACGGAGTGTTAGAGTAGGCAGCCTTCCACAAGGCTACAATCCAGGCATTCTCCATCAGAGAGGGAGCCTCCCTCCACTACACCATGTGGGCAGGTGAGTGTCCTGGTTCTCTGTGTGACTTTGGAGAAGTCACCTCACCTCTCGTACTCTTATTCTTATGAGATTGTACCATCTACCACCCAGGGCAATATGCAGATGAAATATAGTCTACATGATTCTCCGTCTCTTTCTTGGGCCCCAACTTTGCAGTGATTCTCTGTCCCTGGGGGTGTCTCAAGGGAGAGATGCCCAAGAGGCGGAGACCTCAGATCTTGAGTACTAGATAACCCACCTTGTCTACCCCCGGCCCACGATCAAGTCTTGGAAGATGAAAACCCAAACCGAAACCAGTTGAGCTGAACAACTAGAATGGAAATACTGTGAATGTTCATGCATTATGAAGAATGTAATCTATGCCAGTAAGCAATTTGTGTAGATGTTGTTGAATGGGAAGCTAAATTACTGTGTAAACCTCCACTGGAAACACAATGAAATATGAGGGGGCTTCAGAAAGATCATGGAAAATTGGAATGATCAGATAATGGAATTTTCCTACAGACTTTTGGAAGCCCTGTGTATTATTTTTTTAAAAAAAGCAGTGGTTGCCATTGAGTCAGACCCAGCTCATGGGGACCCCATTGTGGAGTAGAACTGCTCCAATGGATTTTCAAGGCTGAGAGCTTCAAGAATCTGATGGTCAGGCCTTTGTTTCTGGGCACCTCTAGTGGATAGGTTCCAACCACCAACTTTTTAGTTAGAGATTGAACATTTAACCAATTGTACTCCCCACACCAACCAAAGACTTGATCTGGAGGTTACTTACTGGATTTTCTTTGTGAAGTTCTTGGAAACGATGCCACCTTCATGCTGCTTCTCTTCATGTTTGCCTGGAAGTGAGAAAAGTAAGAAGTACTGTGTCAATATCATGTTTCTTGGACTTCCTTCAGGACTCAGGCTGAGATTCAGATCCTAACTCTTTGTCTGCCTTGCTGTGTGACTTGAACTAGAGCCCATGTGTCCAAGTTTCAGGTCCCTCATCTGTTACATGGGCCCACTGCAGCCTACCTCACAGGCTGGTTGTGAAGATGGATGAAAATAATGGATAGCAGAGGAGGACTTGACCATGGTTTTGAGGCAATTTTCCATTGCTGCTGTTGTGTGTCATCAAGTTTTGGCTCATCGCGTCCCCAGGTGACAGAGGAGAACTGCCCTGTACTGTTTTATAGGCTGCCATTTTTATGGGACCCGATCTCCAGGTCTTTCTCCTGTGGAGTAGCTGAGGTCGTTTGAATAGTCAACCTTTTAATTAGCAATGCAACTTTTGGACCACCGGGACCATCAATTGTAGGAAATCACTACAACCAGACCAAATATTGTACCACAACATCCAAGTTTCCTGTCTGCTTCCTTGGTCCCCCACCTGCATGGAACTTGAGGCTGACGTCCCAGACCAACAGCTCATTTTTCAGAAGCAGGTTGTCAGGATTTTCTTCGGAGGTGCCTCTGGCTGAACTGGAATCTCCAACCTTTGTTAGCAACCAAGCCCATTAACCATTTACACCACCCCGGGAGCCCCTCCTTAGGGATGGACGCTTTAAATACCAGGCATATGAAACATCACCTGCCCTAGCTCCTACAGGGTAATTGGGGCGGGAAAGGTGGAATTATAAGAAGCGGAGGGTCCAAACTGGCAATTATTCTGCAATATCGGTAACAAATTCTGATCCACTTATTTTCTTCGTGGACACATAGTGTCTTCTTTTTCTGTAAATGAACTAGATTAGGGCTGTTTGAATATCACTTTTCACTCATTACTTGCCAGACCACATTCCTGAGTCAACATTTACCTAAAGGAGGCCCCTCTGAAGGTTTCTCAATCGAGACTGTAGAAAACTTCTGGGCCCTAGTTGTTGTTGTTATGTGCCATGGAGTCGGTTCCAACTCATAGAGACCCTGTACAGGGTTTCTGAGGCTGTAAATCTTTACAGGAGCAGAAAGCCTCATCTTTCTCCCACAGAACAGCTGGTAGCTTCAAACTGCTGACTATGAGATGAGCAGCCCGACTCATAACCCGAGCTCCCTACATAAGTCTTAGAGATGTATATTCCATATTTTATGAAATGGGATCATCCTCTGCATTATATCTTGGAATTGCTAGCCCATAATAATTATTTTTCCACATGGCCCCAACTACTCTTGTCATGGTGTTTAGTGGCCACACAGCACACTGACTGAATAGTGAATCATTTCTCTTCACTGACCTTTGGCCCTTGACGTGGTATCCAATTCCAGAACAAACCTCACTGCAGGGGCCATAGCTGTAGCTAAATCTTCTCACAGGGCTAATAATTTCTTTAGGGTCACTGCCAACGCCTAGGATTTCTAAGGTTTGATTTCTGTTGCCAGATTGAACCTGAGAAAAGACACCTCCATTGATCCTCCTTGCAAGGCAGGAAGGCGTACGCTTATAGAAACTCATTTTTAGATTGGAATATCTGTATAGCCGTGGTCCTGGTGTGGTGTTGTAGGATATGCACTAGACTTCAAGGTTGGTTTGAACTGCAGGATCGACAGTTCATACTCACCAGCTGCTCCTCGGAGACTTTACCCAGGGTCGCTGTGAGTCAAAAGCAACTCTATGGCATTTAACAACAACAACATCTGCCTAGCCAGAACATGCTATTCTGTGAATGAGAGGTGATTTTGTGCTGCCAAGCCCCTGACCATCCAGTGTCCTGCTTTAGCCCGGGCCTGTGTCCAGAGCAGGTCCATTCTGTTCCCTCCCCAGAGCCTAGCCGCCAGATGCCTCCAGAAGCCAGGCCTCTGCCTCAGTCTCTCTGCAGTCTGAGACCTTTATCTTCAGTACCCTGGAGACAATAAACAACAACAGTGGTGATCATGTGATGAGAACAGCAGACTCTCAGTATTTGCGTCATTTACGTTCCAAGCAACTTTTCTCCTCACAACCATAGAAGGAAGGTGCTATTGTCCTTAACAGGGATATAAAAGTTCAGAGAGGTTAAGTGATTTGTCCAAGGTCACAAAGCTACAAAAGGATGGAGCAAATATTCAAAAGCCAACAGAACACTGGGTTTTGATATGGAGTCTTTGTTCTGCCATTTCCTCGGACATACTGACCCTTACTCTGAAATAGGGGTAACTGTGCTCACTCAGCCGGGTTACTATGAGTAGGAGTGAGAGGGAATCACTTGGGAGGATACTATTTAACTGTTTGAAAATCAGTACTTGTGCTCTGGAATCCTGGTGTGGCACTGTAGGATCAGCACTGGACTGCCAACCACAAGGTCTGCTGTTCAAACCCACCGGCTGCTCCTTGGAAACCTTTTCCACAGTCCCTGTGGGTCAGAACCGACTCAACAGCAGTTAACAACAACAACTTGTAGATTGTTTTGCTGTTTGGGGAAAGGACTAAGCCTCCCAGTTCTTGCTGTATAGATGAGCTGTGGGGGTTAGGGAAGGAGGCTCTGAGCAGGGGCAACTCTGATAGTTCCAGAAAAAGCTGTTTGGAAAGGGAGTCAATCAGGTAGAAGGAGGTTGAAGCAAATCTTTTGCATGTTCAGATTGTTTTGGGGTAGAGTTTGAAGGCTTGTGAGTAATTTTTAATTTCTGATTTTGTTTTCCTATCTGTATTTTCTACCATGAAAAGGCTTTATTTTTATAAACAGAAACGAGTTATTATGATTTCTTTGTAACAAGTAATCATCTGGAAGTCAGGCAAGCCAGAGGCCGCCTTGCAGTCGCCATTTTGTGGGCGCGTGCCTCCGAGAACAGCAGGTGTCCTAGGAGCAGACGTCAGCACTTGGGGAAAGCTGCTGGCCCAGCTAAAGTCAGAAGGTGCTGCTTCCGGGGTGGTGGAGTTGGGAAGAGACCCAGGGATTAGGGAGAAGGGAGAGTCAGGCCTCAGGGCTTCCAGTCCCTTCCCTGTCCATGCAGGGAACATTTCTTGGCTGGTGGCTGCCGGCTGGGGTGGGAGCAGGGGTGAGGCAGGATGAAGACTGTGTAGTCCAGCATTTTCCAAACACTTCCCCGGAACAAGATACTCCTGTGTGCTCAGATAAGATAGAGCCACCTCTTAAAGGTTCCTAACTGGCATTCACACACTAAAACCTCTGAGAGTTCTAAAGTGGAGAGACCTGTTCAGAGATGTGTTTCATCTGACACCTTCTAAAGCTCCAGCTGCAACTGAAGACACTGAGGCCCTGGGAAGGAAGACAACACCCCCTCTCCTCCGTTTCTCAGGTGCCAGCACATGGCTTAGCAAATACTGATCTAGTCCCTTTCTCGGTGAAATGAATGGTAAAGCTGAAGTCCAAGATGTGGTGGTATTTGCCAAGGCCACAGTATCAGAAACAGGTTCAGCCATCTTTACGTAAAGCAGGCCAGACATGCCTGTCTTTGAATGTTGGCAAAGTGGGTAATCTCAAGGGAGAGATTTCTTCCGGGCCTCAGTTTCTTCATCTGTCAAATGGGGTAGCAGTCGTGCCCCACTGAGGCAACTCGCTCTGTGCAGGCATTTAGCGCAGGGCCCAGCAGAGTATATTGTGGTGTCGTGTGGGCTTGAAGGTCAGGCTGATGCTCCATTTCCCTGTAAAGTCTTTGGATGTGACTTTAAACTCCTTTTATGAGCGTTTCTCTGTGTACTCGCAGGGAACTTGGAGTCCATCAAACTGGGATTGTTGATTGCAAATTTTTGTGAAGCGTTTTGCAACCTAAAAAGGTTTTGCCAGTCTTTGTCCTTTTTAAGCCCCTCTTGTTGTTGTTGTTAAGTACTGTGGAGTCAGTTCTGATTCACAGTGACCCTGTACAGGGTTTCTGAGGCTACAGATCTTTATGGGAGCAGAAAGCCTCATCTTTCTCCTGCGGAACAACTGGTAGTTTCGAACTGCCCACCTTGAGGTTAGCAGCCCGATTTGTAACCACTATGCTACCAGATGTCCTTTTTAAGCCCCTAGCCTTCTGATTTTATAGATGTTGAAAGAGGCTCTTTGACTCACCCAAAACTGGGCTGTTGACCTAGGGCCACTAGACCCCACCAGTTAAGAAGCATCCACAAAAAAGGAGGGAGAAGCAGTCCTCCCGGCTGGACAGAGGGTCTCCTGAAGGTACCACGGGGCCTGGGAGAACCCCAGCCATGGGTTTGAAGCCTTTGGGATCCTAATTACAGAGAGGCAGAGGGATGCCAGGCTGGAGCTTTCATTAGATCCCTTTTACAGACACTACAGAGTCTGTCATTGTTAATCTGCATGCATATTAGCAGCCTTGCAGGATTAGATAGTACTGTGGTCCCATTCTGCAGATGAGAAAATGAAAGCTCGGAGCCGATGAAAGCCTTTCTTGTTCATATCCTTCCGACTAGTGGACAGATTTCAACCCAGGGCCGCGCCCAGTATCTACCATTTATTATGTACCAGCACTGCGCTGTCCCCTGGTACTAAATAATGTGTGTGTGTGTGTGTGTGCACGTGCGTGCTAAGTGCCATCAAGTCAATTCTGACTCATAGTGACCCAGTGAGGGTTTCTGAGGAGTAGCTGGTGGGTTTGAACCTCCAACCTTTCAGTTAGCAGTCTATTGCTTATATCTACAGTGCCACAACATAGTAGCCCCAACGATAACAAAACAGATTTCTTGGGTACCAGGTACTATGTAACCCTCGATACGCATTCTGTCGTTTCATACGGCAATCTTTGTGAGGCATGGCCACGGCCGAACCACAATTTCCAGATAAGGAACCTGAGGCCTGGAGAAGTTAAATCATTTCCATACCCCTCTGACTCTTGGTGGTGCCGCTTGGGAACCTGCCCTAGACTCCCCAGCCTGCCCCGCATGATCCTTCCGGAAGCAGCAATCCCAGCATGTCTCTGAACCACCGCTCCTGGCCACTGGGGGCAGTGGGGGGTGGGGGTGCCTCTGATGTTTATGATTCTGCCTGAGTGCCTTTGAAACTCCCCAGAACCAACGCTGCCAGGGCTTGTCCCTGCTGCCCTGTGACTTTTATTGATTTCCTGGCCGGCAGGCAGGCCTCTGCCGGGAATATGCTCTTTTTAATGGAACGTTAATTGGAAGGGAAGCGAGAGAAGCTTTTTGTCCTGTTCTTGGGAGCCAGAGTGGAGTCTCCGAGTCTGCTCATTCCTTTTCCCCAGAGCGTTCTTGCTCCTGGGCTGTGCAGGCCCAGGCTCTACTCAGCCCTACTGCTGACTCACAGCGTGACCTTGGGCAAGCCGCCTGGACCTCAGCCTCCACAGCCGCAAAATGGGAATGGAGGGAGAACTTGTTGGCGTGAGGAATATTGAGAATTTGAGCCCAGCCCTTGTTACGTAGGTGTTTAAGAAATCATTACTATCCTGGGCCCCCAATGCCCAGGGAGCCTGGGTTTCAATCCTGGGTAGCCTTGGGTAAGTGATTGTCACCTCTCTATGCCTCTGATTCCTCAGCTGTAAACAGAGGCACTGAGCAGGAGCGACCTCACTCCTAGGATTGTTGTAAGGATTGAGGTGCTGTAGAGGAGGGGCTCAGCCCGGTGCCCCCCCAGCTGCTAGGCACACAGTGAAGTTTGCCAGTTGTTACCATCACCCTTACATTAAGCCTCCGCCTTCTTCTCTGTGACTGGGAGGTGTTTCATGTGTCACCTAGCATGGTTATTAACACTCTCATTGCTTACCTTCAAACTGTCCCTTCTAGACCCTGCTCTGTGCTGCTGGGGTGCAAGCTACCCCGTTTCTTCTGCCTTTTTAGTCCTCCTTCAACAGCTGTTAGACCTGTTGTTCATCTTGTACCCTCTCTGATGTGGGTTCTGTCTTGCTGCCTGTCCAGAGACACCTCCCCACCCCAAGAGCTGTGGCAGTTTAGGATTTCCCCCAGAATCCGACCATGGGGAGCTGCTGCACACAGTAACTGTGGGCGCATTCCTGGGCCCTGAAGTCACCTGTCACATTGTGGCATGGCTCCCCCTCTCAGGACTGCCTGTCACCCCTTCCAGGATGAGGCCTAGAGCCTGCCCCCACTTGTGTCTCCCTCCTGCCCCAACTCACCGGACACCTCGACGTATCCGTCCTTGGTCTTCACCATCAGCTCCTCAGGCTTGAAGCTGTGCACATTGACACACACTTTCCAGGGCTCTCCAGGGAAGGGTGGTGGGGGGCTCCTGCCCTCTGCAGGCACCCCGAACCTAGATGTGGTAGTGGGCCCCCGGGGCACCATGCCAGGCCTCAGGGTCCCTGGCCAGGCTGAGGAGAGACGGGGCAGGGCCCAGTCGGGCCAAGTGGCGGTCAGGTCATCGGGGAAGGGGTCCATGCCAAATCCGTCGTCCAGTAGGCGCGAGGAGAGGGGCGAGTCCCGGAAGGGGTCTCGGCGGAGGCGGCTTGGGTAGTGGCAGGGGAAAGGCATCTGACCGTCAGCCATGGCACCTCTGAGTGTGGAGGGAAACTGAGGCTTGGTGAGTGGGGACACTGCCAAGGTCACGCAGCAAGGTGATGGTGGTGGGCCGGTCTTCAGAGCGTAGTCTCCAGTCACAGAAAATGCTGGTCTTGTGACTGGGGTGCCTAAAGCAGAACCATCCACTGCCAAGGACTGGCTCCCGGTTTCCAAAGGTACCACGCAGGCAGTATCAGCGGTGACCCCTCTGGTTCCACACAATCCCAGAATGCCCCTCTCTCTCCCACGGCCTCACCAGAAACCAGCCAGCCACCCGCTGTCGTCCAGGCTGCTCAGGCTCTCAGCCAGAGCTGCGAAGTCCAGAGTGAGCCAGGAGCTTAATAAACCCTAGGGATCGAGCCTAGAAACTTCTCCTGGTTTCTCCGGGGTTGGGAGGCTATTTATTTGCTGCTGGAGGCTGGAGGCGGGTTTTGCAAGCCCCTCCTGTCACAGGAGTATTCAGAGGTGATGAACCAACCCCTGAGAATCTGCTGAGGGAACAGCTGGGCTCCCAGAGCCTGGGAGGGGCCCTGGCCTCTAAGTTTAGCCAGCCTCCTCCGGACACTCTCTCCTCCCCCTGCTGGCTGGTGTTGGCTCCGCCTCCCGGCTCCCACTCCTGAGCATGCCCTCCCTGCAAGCCTGCCCAGAGTCCCAGCTATTAATAACCCTCCTGCCTGGCTGAGGGCTCAAATCACCCTCTGGAAATACCTTCCCCTGCCTGTTGCACTCTGCCTCCCACCGGGGACCCATGGAGCCCAGTAGACTTGAAGGCAGGTTGTTGCCGGTTGGAATCCCCACCTACAACATGACCTCCTTACTCAAACACTCCAGACATTTGGGCCATTCTAGGGCCATACCATTATTTCTGGGGATCTCTGAGCACTTTTCCACCTGCAAAATGGACCTATTGGTAGTAGCCTCCTCATGGATGTGTCATGTGGATTCCTGAGGCTGTCCTCATTAAGCCTGTAGCAGACTGATTAGCACTAACATATTTTTAATTTTCAGTTGTCACTGCTATAACGCTCAGTGCCAGGCACTGTTCTGAGGGCTTGACAGACATTAACTGGGGCAACCCTCATCAACAACACAGTAGTTAGCTCCTCTCGAGTCAAGGAAAACAACTCTTCCTCCAGACGCGATCCCTTCAGCTGCTTTATTTTATTGCAATTTGCAGATATTGCATTTTTCCCAAATGAAAAGTTGATAGTAACCCTGGGTCCAGCAAGGCGTTTGGCACCATTTTTCCAACAGCATGTGTTTAGTTTGTTTCTCTGTCACATTTTGGTAATTCTCGCCATATTTCAAACTTTTTTATAATGTTGTTAAGCACTTCATAGACTGCAATACAGTGTAAACATAACTTTTATATGCACTGGGAAAAGAAAATATTCCTGTGACTCACAGTATTACGATGCCCATGATATTGTGGTGGTCTGAAACCTGAAATGCCCTATTTTACACGTCTGTCTGTATTGCAGGATGCTCTATTGTAATCAATAGGATTTTAGTTTGCTAATTTTCAGGAGTCCTGGTGTGACACTGTAGGACAAGCACTGAGCTGCTAACCACAAGGTTGGCAGTTCAGATCCACCAGCTACTCCTCAGACCTTATGCAAGGTCACTCTGAGTTGGAACTGGCTCAATGATACTTAGCAACAACAAAGTGTCAGAAATAAATAGCTAGGACTTGTCTTTATAGTCTGCCTTCATCTGGAAGCCCCAGTGAAGCCTGTCCACCATGGGTGACCCTGCTGGTGTTTGAAATATCAGTGGTATCACTTCCAATCTCACAGAGCACCCAAGCCACCACAGTATGACATTCTGGCACAGAGGTGGTGAAACAATCTATCAAGGGTACTATTATTAACCACACTTTACAGGTGTGGAAACTTCCATGGAAAGTGTTGAGAAATGACAGTTTGTGTTATGACTATGGCCGTTAGTAATGATAATTATCAGAAGGTGTGTTGGGTTAGAAAAATTTGTTGCAAAAGACTTCTGTAAAGTGTTCCAAAGCCAAGGGATCCCTTTGAGCAGTAAGGTGCGCCTGACCGTAGCCTTGGTATTTTCAGTCACCTCACATTGCAAGTAAGTGAACGCTGGAACATAAGTGGTTAGGTACTGTTGGCCCACTGATGACCCTTAGCGGCCTTTTGCACAACAGAACGAAACACTGCCCAGTCCTGCGCCAACCTCACAATCACTGCTGCGCTTGAGCCAAATGCCGCTGCCACTGCGCCGGTCCATCTTACTGGGGGACAGTCAGTAAGGAAGACCAAATAAGAATAGATGCCTTTGAATCATGGTGTTGGCGAAGACTATTGAATATACCGTTGGATATTAAATATACCTATGCCATAAGAACTGGACTGCTAACCTCAAGGTCGTTGGTTCAAACCCACCAGTTGCTCCAGGGGAAAAATATAAGACTTTCTGTTCCTCTGATGATTGAAAATTTTGGAAGGCCTATGCAGGGTCACAGTGAGTCGGAACCAACTCGATGACACACAATAAATCAGAAGAATGAGCAAGTGTGTCTTGGAAGAAGTACAGCCAGAATGTTCTTTACAAGTGAGGTTGACATGACTTCACCTCATCTACTTTAGGCATATCATCAGGAGGGCCTTGTCAGAAGGACCTCATGCTTGGTAAAGGAGTTGTTGTGAAGTGCCGTCAAGTCGGTTCCGACCCATAGTGAATCTGTACAGGGTTTCCAAGAAGCGACTGGTAAGCTTGAACCACCGACCTTGCGGTTCAAACCAACTTTGCAGTCTAGCTCATTAACCACAATACAAGACCCTCAACGAGACAGCGTGGCACAGTGACTGCTAAGAGGCTTTCAAACATGGCAACATTGTGAGGATGACTTCCCCTGCTAGTCCCACAAAGCTTGAAGAATGAGTTTACAGATTGTCCTAAAGGCACCTCACACTTGGGTTCCAAGCTTTGTTGTGTCCCCAGAAGGTGACCTCAGGGTTTTAGCCCTGCCTTCCTCAGGCCCTAGGGCTGGGGGCAGGGTGCTAAGGAATTGAATGAGTCATTGGTTGAGAAATCATTTGGGTTGTTAAGCAGTACCTACATGAGGCAGTTTGCTAAAAATAATAAGATGGAGAACAGGCCTGACCATCATCATGCATTGCTTCTGATGTCAGCCAGTGAGCACAGTGCAGACAGTGTCACGTCACCAGCCCCCAGCTGTTTGTCCAGTCAGTGCAGACTCATAGCAACCCATGCGTGTCGAAGCAGAACTGTGCTCCAAACGTTATCAGTGGCTGAGTTGGGGAAGTAGATTGCCAGGCCTTTCTTTGGAGGCGCCTTTGGGTGAGCTTGAGGAAACATGGTGACACCGAGGCTAAAGTGTTGAGCTGTTAACAAAAAGGTTGTTGGTTTAAACCCACCAACTGCTCTGTGAGAGAACATTGTGGTGGTCTGCTTCCATAAGGAACCCCATGAGGCAGTTTTGCACTGTCCTGTGAGTTTGGAGTCGGAATTGACTCCAGCACACTGGGTTTGGGTTTGGGTTTTTCTGGGTGGACTTGAACTCCATTTACATTGTCATGTTGAACCATCGCTCTTACCATCATACCGTTTTCAGTAGAGGTGTTATGGGTATTGAATCCTGGTAATACATGCTGGACTGCAAAGTCAGTTTGAAACGAAAGGTCAGTAGCTCAAGCTCACCAACTGCTTCTCAGAAATCCTATACAGGGTTACTTAGGTTGGAACTAATTAGATGGCACTAAACAATCAATAAAAAATCCTCCCCACAGCCCCATAAGGAAAGAACTTATTGTCCCCATTTTACAGATGAGGAGCTCAAGGCATAGAGTGTGTCCATGTCTACAACACCTGGTTAAGCGGCCCTTGTAAGCCTATTGGGTGGCAGGACCTGGGTTGGGGAGCTGGTTTAATCTGGATCCCAGGTCTCTGACAACCCTCGCCTTCCCTAACCACGTCTGAGTGAATGGGTCCCTGCTAGACCACGGTGAGCTCACTAGAAGAGACATAGGATGATGCCGTTGCCCTGCACATGCTCACTGGGGCCTCAGCTCTGTCTGAATTCACAGCTGGGGCAGGTCCTTCCAGACCTGGGACTGGGCTGCAGGGATGAGGTGGGTGGGGTGCCTTGAATCTGCATGTGGCTTGGCTCTTCTGTGGGTACAGCGATGACAGTATGTTTATATGTGGATGGGCTGTTTGTTTATAGGGGAGCCTGGAAGAACCTCCTCCTCTTCCCTGCCCTGGTCCATCCTCCCCCAAACCTCTCTGCCTAGAACAGTGCTCCCAGCTCTCCCATCTCAGTCTCACCCTCACTCTGAGTTGGGATGAGGCTCCGGGGGATGGGAGGGGAGGGGGGATTGTAGAGCTGGAACTCCATGACCTAATCCACACCCTGGGCAGCTAGGAAACCGAAACAGCAATCTTTAGCATTTACAGGCACTTGCTTTATCTAAGTGCCTTAAATTTCTGTGTATTTACTCATCTTGCCCACAACTCTTGGAGAAAGACATCCTTGCCATCCAATTTTACAGACCAAGATAAGGAGACATATAGAGGACTTATGCCTCCCCCATATTTACACACCTGCTGAAGCAGCCCAGCTGAGGTTCAGACTAGACTGTTGGGCTCATCATGCCCTGGCCGTCCTGCCTCTTACACAATAGTAATGGCTCACAGTGATTGAGCACTTGCTTATACCTTAACTTCATTGAATCTTTATGGTTCAGAGAGGCAAAGCCACCTGCCCCAGATCACACAGCGGGTACTTGGGAGTCCACAGTGATCAGCAGAATGAGACTGATGGTCCTGGGTTTGTTCTTTGAGCCTCCCCTGCCTTAGGGGCTCTCCTTGTGCTCCTGGGTCAGCTGAGGAGGAAGGCAGTTGCTTGTCCTGCTGGCCCAGCCTCCCTATGAGACGCTTAGCTCATACAGGTAGAAAATGTCACTTTGTCCCATGGGCTGTCACCAGCCAGGTGACACGAGGGG